CTGTAAAAGATACAAGCTACTCGTAGCACCTTCAGAGAAATGTTTCCCTCTGCTTTGCTCTTTTTTCTCCCTCTCTCTTTCTCTCTCTTCCCTCAGCCTCCTCTCTCCATCTCTTTTTCTCTAACATGCCACCTGGGGGCAAATCTCACTCTGTCTCATCTGCTGCTTAATTTCACAAGAGCGGCCCTCAGTAATGAAGCGCCTTGATGTACATTTGCCAATTTCTGCCTCTGCCACTGAGGTATAATTGGGATGTGACTAAGCATGAATACTCGGTGCAGGGTTGGTTGACCTCTCAGTGACCCCGCGGATAGCGGTTTTGTCGTAATAGAGGTATTATCTCACATAATCTGGGAATGGAGAGGAATTGTCTGCAGGGTTCCGGGTTGGAAATGAATTAATATAACTCCTTGCTCCTGCCTCAACATGGAGGAGAAGAAAAAGAAAAACGTCAAGGCGTTTTTTGGGTTTTTTTTTTTTACACGCTCATAATGAAGACATTTTCTTCTTATCTATGTCACTTTGTGTTTATTGGAGTGGGAGAGTCGCTCCCGGCAAAAGCCGGGGTAGATTGTTTTCAGAACGGCAAGGAGATGGGAAGACATGGCACCGGGGGAGATTTCACTCTACGTGTGTGAAGTTTTTTTTTTTTTTCGTACCCCTGGTGTGGGTGCGCTCTGTAGTCATGCACATATTCGTGTGTATGTGTCTGTTAATGACCCTGTAAAATGACAAGCTGTGCTGGCAGTGAGAGCACAGCCGACGGTCATATAGGGAGAGGGTAAGGGGGAGTGGGCAGGAGAATTTATGCAGGTCGAGACCAGAGAGGGAGGGGGAGGAGGGTCGACAACAGTGTGATTCAACACAGTGTCATCAGTGGGGACATTGGGCCCAGAGTGCCCCCTTTGTATTCCCACCTGAGAGGCCTGCAAATGGAGGGTCCACGCTGTCATTATTTACAGCCCGCAGCACCTAACCTTGGATTTGGAGCTCATCACCGCGAAGGGAAAATCAGATTGGACTTGACGTGTACCCAAGCCAGTGACCTTGATAAGTGTGAGGTGCCTGCAGCAAGAGGTTAGGGAAGAAGAGTTCCCCTGTGTCAGCTTTCACTGTGGATTTGTACGTGCACGTGTGTATGTGTGTGTGTGTGTTTTAGCCAGGTGAGGGGTGGGAAGAGAGAGGGGCTGAACGACGGTGACTCAAGTTGACAAGGGTCAGGACACTCATGGATCCAGATACAAAGACCATTGCTGGAAGTGACACAAATATAGAAGTTAGATAGCTGTTAGATTAATATTTGGATAATTGGTCGATGGTTAAATGAACAATCTAGCATGCAGTAATTTTCACAAAAAACAGTAGAATAGCTGTGCAAATCGTATACACAGAAAGTTGATCACCACGCCTGGTGTTCAGTGATTGATTGTCATTTCATTTGATTTGTCGTTTTCTTTTCACCCGTTAATAATAACTATCCTGCAACACAGAACATCAGCGTTGGATTTCAACTGTCTGTTGTCTGTTTTTGTCTTAGATACAAAATATAATTGGTAGCTATTACTTTGGGCCATTGAATTTGAGATTAATACATTTCTTCAAAAAGCACAAAAAAATGTGCTATTGGAGAAATAGAGAAAGAACCCTGTTTTTATTAAACCAGGTACAAGCTACAAAACGCCCTCCAGTTCAGCTGTGTTTGTAAATTGGCTTCCTTGGTACAAAAGCACCTAAGCCTTGTACCTAGGAAACAGTGAACCTTCTCTGTAATTCCTCCCTATAATTTCTTCTTTTTAATAATTTTTTTCCCCCGCTATCAAAAACGGGTTAACTGAAGCCGACAGGGAGTGAGTGGGAAATAACACAGAGCATCTCAGGACGGCTGATAAAAATGCCTTTCTCTTCCTCCTCCTACTGAGAGGCTATTTGGTCGCGTGAAATGATTAATTTCACACATATACGGGTCAACCCGGAAAGCAGCAGCATCTCATTCACAAGAGGCTCCAGTCAGCAACAAACCGGGAGGCTGCAATAAAATGGGCAAACAGCAGCACGTACTGTTGGTCAATAAATCTCTGGAGGTTAAACATGAGCTCTGTAGAACTTGAGCAGCCCCTCCCTCACCTCTGTCTTTTTCCTCTCCCATCAGGTAAAAAAAAAAAAAAGAAAAAGTGAAGAGCAGTACGTGAGTGTCCTGCAGTAGCAGGTTCACACAAACTCTCTCTCACACACACTCAGAGTGTGTCTGTGTTTGCATAAGTAGGATGGAGCCTTCAATTATAGGGTTTGTGTAAATAAGGAGATGAGACTGTTTTTAGCACACAGGGAGGAAGCAGTGCTCGGATGAAAACAGTGCCTCTGTGTGGTGCTGAATTGGGCTCCGGTTGTTTACGGCAACTCACAGCCCTCGTATATCACATGGAGTGTGTTTGCTGTGAAGCTACACTGTGTGTGTGTGCCATCTGCCGTGGCTGAACTTGACCCCTTAAACAGACTTATATTTTGTAAACTGAGTGTGAGTGTGACTGCTGTTTCTGTTTTGTCTCCCCTAGTGGATGATCCAGGAACCCCACAAAGTCGCCACCTTCTTCGGCTGCATCGGGACCGACCGCTTTGGGGAGATTCTGAAGACGAAGGCGGCGGAAGCCCACGTTGACGCCTATTATTACGAGCAAAACCAGGAGCCGACGGGAACCTGCGCTGCCTGTATCACTGGAGAAAATAGGTTAGCCACCTTTAAGTCACCCTTGGCCAAAACATGACCCTTTGGCTCTGATTCAAGAGAGTCACAGTGGTTCGTTCGTTCACCTCCGGGCAGGCAGTTGACTCCTCGGGGCTGGAAGTCATAACGGGGAATCATAGTTGAGCTCACACATCAAAAAGAAAAAGCACAGCTTGAGTGTGTTTTCCAGGCTGCCCCAGTGGGTTGTCATCCATCTATAGGCTGACAGTAGCAATGCGTTAGAGATGGCTGGGCTATCCCAGCTCTTACCTGTCATCCTCCTCGGCTGAGAAAGGTGCTCCAGCATCTCCCCAGATTCTCACGCCAGAATCATCATCAACATGTCAGCCTGGAGACAGCAGAGGTCGAGTCCTGCACGCACATCCACTTAGACACAGAATGTCACACACCTTGAGCTCTGCGGTTCACGATAGACCAGGTGTGGATCGATAACCTCCTTTTCTAAACACTCCCTTTTCGTTGCGGTCCTTCATCCACCGCTGCTGGACTTGTCAGTCAGTCATCGGCTGGACCCTGACCGCCCCAGGAGTTGGACCTGCTGAATGGTCTTGGTGGGGGTTGTTTGATATGTGCTCTGACACCTGAAAAGGTCAGGTGCTGTGCTCGGGGAGAAGAGCCCTGTAATATTTCTAACAGGTGTTTAACAGACAGCTCAGGAGGCCATTGGAAAGGTCGCCACCGGGCCAGATTGGGAGTGTGATGGCTTTGAGAGATGAGGAGTCACAGACCCCTGGGTTTTGATTAGTGCCTAGCCTTGGATCAAAAGGAAGAGAAACTACAGACCTTCTGTTTACCACTTAAGATACAGCCTTCAAAACAATAGACATAGTGTATGACCTTTAGTATTTTTGTGACAAACATATATATAAATATATATAAAATATATATGTATGTATACATACATATATATCTATATATGTATGTATATGTATGTATATATGTGTATATATATATACACATATATATATGTGTATATTGGGATTGGGATTCAGTGTGTCAGTCTGTTAGGTGAAATTACCCTTTAAAAATATGCGTATATATGCACATGCATGCATACATTCACATAAAGGTATTTATAAATGTATACATACAGTATATGTTTATATGTATGTATATGTATATAAATATATATATGTGTGTGTGTGTGTGTGTACATTTTTAGACCCTTAAAATGTGTACTTATAGGGGCTTCTACTTTGATCCGTGGTAATGGTACCAGACATAGTCCCCAGTACTGTTGTGTGTCCTTGAGAAGGAAGGATGCCTTTTGACATAAACCACAGTGAGCAGTCGTTTACTGCAATTTGAAAACAGGCCTCTTCCTTTAGCTTCAGAAACCTCCTGTCATATGGTGGCCCTTAAGTAGTGATGATGGTTGCACTCATTTTGATAGCCTTTCATAAAGTGACGGCACACAAGGAGTGCCTAACGAGCTACGCTAGGACAAAGCCACCTGCTCCGCACTCCAGCCCCACCATTCACTACTCCAGTCAAGTGTTCACTGAACAGCACATTGGGCTTTTTTTTTCCTTTCATTTTTTTTTAAAACAATACGCTACTTTCCAGGTGATAAAATCATTAAAAATAAATTGTGCTTTTGGTTTTTTTTTATATATATATATTTTTTTTAATCTCCCTTTTCTGCTGCTTATAGCAGATAACCATGTGTTTTAAAAAAAACAGGCAGCATCCAGATGACTTTATTTCACCTCGACTCAGACATTCTTAGAAACAATTATCATTCTTTTTCTATATCTCTAAAAGAACAAAGGGAAATCTGGTGCCTGGGTGTTTTTTAGGGCTTTTTTTTAAGATGAAAATTAAGATGGATGATATGTGAGTCAGAAGATTTATGGGGTCTGTCTCGGCAGGTCCCTTGTTGCTAACCTGGCAGCGGCAAACTGCTACAAAAAGGAAAAACACCTGGACTTGGACGGCAACTGGGAGCTGGTGAAGAAAGCCAAGGTCTATTATATTGCGGTAAGTGAGACCCACTACATTCAAAATGATTGTTCTCTAACTTGATTGCCAGAAGAGAACCAAATGTTAAGAGGCTTTATTCAGGAAATGCCTCAGTGCGCCTTCTGCATTGTCGATCTATCCATTCATCCTTTGTCAAGTGAAATGAGTTGCGTTACCTATTGAGACAATACAGCTCCATTCTGCCTATTTTCTTCTGTCTTTGTGCAACGGAGCTGCAGCACAGTGTGAAATTGTTCTACATGCTATGCATTTATTCATTTCTTTTAATGTGAAGACAAGCCAACAGGTGCTGTGAAAGTGTGAAAATTGATTATGCAAGTTCATTTGACTTCCCCCTCCCCAGCCACCGTTCCCACACGGTCGTCCTCTTACAGACGAATCACAGTCGCAGATTGAGGAGGACAGATGTGCGTTTAGACAGTCACACACACTCACACTCAGGGCTGCACTGCTGAGGTAATGTCTTCACTTACAGCTCCTGGAGCGGGATGGCCATGCCATGCTCAGGTTTCACTTTTTGGGATTATATTTAATTCTCTCAGATCCACATCGTCTCTGATGTCAAGTTGAAATGATAGCCTTGAAATTGTGCTGCATTCCTCGTCTTTAAGCAGGTCATTATCGACATAAATCAGCCTTACGGCCCAGCCATCAACATGCTTCTCGGCATATTGTCCCAAGTGAGATTCACAATGGTTCCCCTGTTGCCCACAATCCCTCTAAAGTGTACTGTAGTGCAATAATGATGGAGGCTTCATAATTAGCTGCTCCGGTCGGAGAAACAAACACTAAAAAAAAAAACCGGAAAAATCGTCAGTGCTCCTGCCAGAAAGTGGTCCATCCTCTGGAGTTTGTGTGGTCTCATTTTTAGCCTCTGCTTCACATTAGCAAACACTGCACATCCTCTGCAAATTGGCAGTTGGGCTATGCCCACATCCGACAGTCTTGTGCACTGGGAAAAGCTTCCGTGGGATTTGAGGAGGGATAGAAGGGCCACAAATGGGTGTTTGTCAGTGCTCGGAATCTCAAACACGGTGTTCGGCGTCCCTCCTGGGCCTCTTTGTCAAAACACGGGGATCATTCGCTTTATTAGAGTCCCGTTCTCGCTTCTAAAGTACTTAGCCAGATACACTGCCACAGCTTTTCCCACTTAATACTGTGTGGCTCGTCTAGACCGGTGTTCAGCAAGGCCTCCTCTCTCCATTAACCTTGTCGAGAGCACTCAGATGTATTTACCCAATTTACAGCCAGATTGTACATTTCTCCCTCCCTCCCTCCCTCCCTCTCTCTCTTTTACACTCTCACTGCTGAGAGACTACCAACCTTGGTTGTATATTAATGTGGCTCGTCGATTCTCCGTTAAAATCGCCACTGCTCTCTCTTTCGTACTCACTAATCCTTAAATGTAATTATCAAACGAACCGCCGTGCGAATGTTAATACGCTATCCGCTCAAATGTGCGCTTGTTGTTGGTGCAGGAAGTGTGTTAAAGAGGTGATTGATGATTCCTGGCCGAGGCTCTCAAGGTGCCTGCTACTGTGTGGTGTGATTGGATGAAAACAAAAATTATTAGTGGGATCTCGCAGCCAGTCTGGCTCATCCGACAGCGGTTGTGATGGCAGCAGCAGCAGGGCCGGTGGCAGACGCAGAGCACAGAGGCAGGCAGCTTTCCCATTCCTCACAAAGAGAGAGGGAAGGGGGAGGGAGAGAGAGAGAGAGAGAGAGAATGTTGAACTCCTGCCAAATGTTTGGTGGCAGGCTGTTGCTAGGAAATCTGGGTCCTTAGGCAAATCATTGCACAAAGACCAATAACAAAGGCGTGAGGGGTGGGGGATGGAGGGTGGCTAAACGCATTTCAGGAAGATGATATCTCTCTTTTTCTGTTGTTGTTGTTGCCATTCTTGTCTGCCATCGCCGCTGCACTGATGTTTACAGTGACATCTTTCCTCGAGGAATGTGAACATCAGAAATGGAGGGTGATGTATTGTGTGAAGGAGAGATGAGTGACTCTAATTGGTGGGGGTGATGTGTGCATGCTGGCCCAGTTAGCTCCTCTCTTCCCCTCCTTTTCCTCCAGCTCCAACTCCCCTCCCTTCCCCACCTCTCCTTTGGCCCTCTGTGGACTCCCCCGTCCACCTCCCCTCTCTCTTCTCCCTCTTTTTTTTCAGTCTCCTTTTGCTCCCTCCCTCCCTTTCTCTTTCTACGCTCTCTGATACACACACGTACACTGGCTGCCAAACGTGCAGTACGTGCACGCATGCACACACACACACTCCTGCAGCATACCACTGGCTTGTTTTTCTTAACGCTGAGAGCTTTGCCCTGTAATTTGATCTCCACCGCTTGATGCATCCTCCATGATGCCACCATGAATTAACCTATGGCTCCACAGCCCTGCTTAGTCCCAGCTAATAAAATGCCCTGTCCTAACTCGTGATATTTACATCCAGGGATGGAAAAAAAAAAGGAACAGAGACATGCATGGCATTTGTCTGCCACGAATAGATGGAGCTAGCACCAGAAATGAAAGAGAATGGAGACGGACAAGACAATTGACTGTGAAAAGGCCTGTTAATGACTCGGCACAGATGGTCAGAAATAACCCAAGGATAGGCGGAGGAGACACTGGCCCGTGCCAACTGGCATGGTACAAAAAAGTCGCCCAATGAGACACAAGCTGCAGTGCTGTTAGGTCACAAACCTGATCACAGCTGTGGATGCTGCTCGTTTTTGCCCTAAGCTAACAGCTCAATCCCCGTTAGGCATCCAGAGGTCAGCCACGCCTGAGAGAAAACAGCTAGCCCACCTCTTTTTTTGTTTTGTTTTTTTCTCTCTCTCAAAGAGGGCAGCAAGTTGGAGTAGAATGCCTCATATTGTTAACACTGGCACACTGCATATAGCATTAATTGGCAGTTGTGTTCTTGCCCTCGCTGCAGGGGAAAGCTGAGTTCAGCTTCAGTCACTGTAGCATAATATGCAAGAAAAAAAAAACGAGGCGAAGGGGAGGGCAGAGGCAGGGGAGAAGGAAGAAGAGGAAGAGAGGGGGGAAAAAAGCGCAATACTGGCACCACAAGCAGCACGTCAGCCTGCTTACACCCCAGAGTGGCACACATACACACACGTATGCACACATTGTTACTCCGCCCCGCCAGCCCCTGCAATTTGCAGCCAAAAAAGCAAAGGGAGAGGTTGTTCACACACATACACACTCAACTAAGTGACACCTCATCAGCTAGCCGAAGGGCTGATTAGCACAGAGGTGACTGCGGCTGTCTCTCTGTCCAAGTCGGAGGACTCACATTGTCCTCACACTGACCTTGAGCTTTCTCCCCTCCGTTGCTCTACTCTTCTTTTCTATCTTTCCCCCTGCCTATTTCATCAAGCCGTCCTCCCTTCCTGAGACACCATCTCCTCCCTCCTTTTCCCTTTTTCTCTGTCTACTCTCCTTCCTCTCCGCTCCGTACTGCACCACTCCGCACTGCCCCTGTCCTTCCACAGAGCCAGGGAGGGATCACGAGGCAAAATGCAGGCGGTGAAGAGAGAGAAGAAAGGGAGGGAAGGAGAAAAGTGGAGGGGGGAGAAAAAAAAAAGCTGGCAGTCTCTCCTTTTGTCTGCAGGCGATCAGTTACAGTCCTGGTTGCCGATGAAATTTAATCCCCACCGCATTTACATGCCAAGTTTGACTTCTGGCAAGCCTTATTAAATAGATTTGTAAATCATTTCATCTTGATTAGAATCTATTCTCCAGGGATCAACATTTTCGTTGCCTTGCTCATGTTTTTTATGTGCACAGTCACTGGTGGTAAAAATTTGAGAGTCAACCTCCAGGGGTGGTGATTTTCTGTCAGACTGAGTGCTAGCAGTCCATTCAGGGGGACAAAGAGTAATGGGCGCCAAGTCCTGTCCATCTCCAGCCAGCTCCTTGTGTCAGCTTGTCTCCAGTCTGTGGAGGTCATGTCTCTGGGTTGTGATGTCTCTGCTCTTTATTAGGCTGACACCGCAGTGTCTTTGGCGTGAAACAATGTCTCCTCAAATTGCACCTAATCAGATGGCATTTTGTAATTACAAACAGGCGTCTTATGAATATGAATTCATCATTGTTCAATTACAAGCCGCCGGCATCATCTTTACTGGCATATTTATTTATTTATTTATTTATTTCCTCCTGCTGGCCGGGACCAATTATAGGATTTCAATCTTGAGGCAATCAAGGGATAAGGGTGAGGCGTTTAGTGTTTGCTGTCACTATATAATTCTCCTGAATGTTAAACATCCATCTGGGAGGGCTGTATTTGTCACAAAGCTGCGCATGGAGCTGCACCTGCCTAATTGAGTGGTAATGAGCTGTCAGGAGTGGGGGCTCGGTGATTGGCTCTCAGCGGGGTGTCCCGTGCCAGTGGGATGTATGGGCCGGCCCCCCTGTTACCGCAGCCCCGCAGGCCTGAGTGGGCGGGGCATGGTAAATGATTTGGAGCGGCTGAACCACACAGGTTGTGGGGAGACTTCTGCTAGACTGGGGGTTTATTTATGTTGTTTACTAATACGGTGTATTTACTGTACTCGTTTACTGAGCTCAAACTAGTACTATCAATTTGAAACTTAGCATATACAGCATATATATATATAGTGTGTATATATGTATATATATGTGTGTGTGTATATATATATATATATATATAGTATGTAGTAGAGAACTGGATTATTTTTCCAGTGTGTTTTTAAAATTGTCATTAAAAAAAAATACACACATGTACCACTGAAGTATTTCACCTCGTTTTGGCTCCATATACGGAGCACCACCTCACACTGAGCTTTACAACAACAGTTTGGAATTGTTGTGAGGAAAGTTGCAGAATGTGGTAGTTTGTCTCTCATTTGGTCTCATCACTGTGGCGTCTATTTTGTTCTAGTGCAATTTATTTTTATGCATCTTTGATGTTGTTAGAAATGTGTGTGTGTGTGTGTGTGTGTGTGCGTGTGGAAAGGCTTAACATCTG